GGTTATGAAGTATGATTATAGCAGAACAGATTTTAAAACCTACAAAATCAAACTGAATGCATAAAGGATCTATCAAATATTGTGAGAAAATAAAAACATGAGTATGGAAAAAGTGAACTTTTCGGCTCTACATGACATAGACACTAACAATATAGTGGGTCTGTTTTTTAATAGGCATTTTCCAGGATGCATAATTCATAACGCAATAAAAGTATGTCTGGATAAGCTCTAACACGTCCTACCTGTGGGGTGTCCAGAGTGACGGTGACTTCTGTTACCTGTAGATCTTCATCGTTTGGGACCTCTGCATTGAGGACACTGTCTGTTCAGGACCAGTAGCAGCCCGTAAGTGAACTTCTCCATCCTGAGATTGCGGTCGCATGAAGGGCACTTTGGGTTAAACAACTGCAGGAGGCGTTTTTCATTCACAATGTGCTTTCCTTTCATTTGTAGAAGTGCAGCTCTAACAACAAAAACAAAAAAACGGTGTTAATGAAATACCAAAGAAAAGTCTCTTCCATAAAAAGCACCCAACGTAAGCAAAACAAGTTTGAGCAAGATATTTACGGAAACTTACTTTTCTCTGATCAAATTAATATTCACATTATCTGGTTGCACATTGTCATTTATAGACATAAAATAATCTGAGCAATCGATTGCAAGTGATTCTGCAAGACTGGACTTCCTTTGGCATCTGCAAAAAAAGTTACAATTATGAATAAAGATTCAATTATGAATTACTACTTTTTGCTGTAATTATACAGAAATAACAGAGGGCTGTGCTGTTGAGGGTTGAGCTGTTCATGCAATTAAAATTCTTAATTAAACACTTTATTGAGCATTATTTACTTCATATTTTGTGACATGTAAAATAATGTTACCCTTTAAAGCCAGCTTTGATTCTTCAGAACATGATGTTGGACCATCAGAGTATTTAAGCTGATTAGCAGCAACATCTGTATTTCCCAGAGGTAACGAACTACATACATTTTTGTCCTACGCTGGCGAAGTCATGGCCCGCCCTACTCAGCCTCTGATTGGACACAAATCGTTGGCTTCGTCAGACATAAGAAGAGCGATTGGTTAGCGTTGAGTTTTAATGAAACCGGGTCAGCCAATCGGAGGCGGAAGGGGGCGGGCATGCCTGATGCGCGGGGTTTTGTGGACAGGTATGCTTGTTTTAAAGTTAAGCGTACACCGACTGGTGTAGTTTTAAATCCGGCAGTTTTATCATAGCTACTGTAAGGGCCAATGATGGATCAATTTTCTGTAACTCAGGGCAACGGAAGCATCATTACCGCAGAACCGGACAAGGCTAAATAGCGAGGAGTAACACTGTTATTAAAGACTCCTGTGAAGTAATAACGGTAATGTTTACTTAAATATGACAAACTGGGATTTGAAAGTTGTTGTTTTTTTAAGCAAGGCACAGTGACTTGAGTCAACATTAACAGTTGCCTTGGTTTTGTTTTACCCCTAGCTGGTGGTTTGTTGGTGAAAATGTAGAAGAAGACAATACAAACACAAGGCATAGGTAAGTCCAATTGAAGCCTTTAAAGAGATAGAGATGAGTTATAGGCTACTGATAAATAATGGCAAAGTGCAGAAGTTTACTAATGTGCAGGCACAGATAGTCCAGTAGGCGGCGCTGTTTAGCTTCAAATTCTCTTTTATAAGCTGGCCAGTTGACAGTAGCAGGCTCAAGACAATATTTGCAGGAAAACCTGGCCATATGAAAATCTACATTACAAGCTATTTGGCTTTGATACATGCATGCAGGGTCATCCCTGTGGTCTTACACATATGGCCCCTCCTCAACAGTCTGAACGTCAGCCTTTCCTGCAGGCTTGAGCAACAGGTGTTTACAAGAAGTTACCAGCCTGTGTCCCACTGGGTATATCATGTATCCATGTCCAAAACATGCTCAGGTTTAAATGACAATAGAAACATATGATACAGGGCTTTGTGGATTTTCTTACTTTCCCTGTTAGATGTTTACTGGGGTATCTGTTTTAAATCAGTGCTATCTGCCCCGTGGAGGCTAGTCAATCAATGTGTCACCACAATGACATTCATCTGTGTCCTGGTGTATGTGTGTGTGTGTGTCTGTGCAATCTTGTGATGTGTTTACAACAGTTATAATTTTTGTGTTTTGAGTGTCTGCGAAGAAGAATTTATGTCCGTAAAATGTTGCATAGTTATTTCCTGAAATTAGTGTTTCGCCTGTACTTCAGAATGATAAACAATTACTTATATAACAACTTAGCTGATGATGAGCTTATCTGCATTTCAAAAACTTCCTCGTTCCTCTTTGATTTAATCTTTCACTGTCAGCATGTTTGCTGAATGTGCTGAAACTTCAAAGGCTCATGCTTAGTAGTAATGTGCTTTTAAACTGTAAACAGTAGAATGGGGCAATAAAGTCGACAGTGAACACAAACACACAGCGTAGAAGATCGTTTCAAAGGTTTACACAACAACAAACCCATTCCTTTCATGGTGCTTCTGGTCAATACAAAGTTCCAGAGAGAGAGAGAGAGAGAGAGAGAGAGAGAGAGAGAAGAAAATGTCATTTTCTCCAAGGAATTTGGCCTCTGATTTCTATTTACGTTCTATCCTCCTTCATCATATCAATTCTGGGAAGGAAAGAGCTGCAGTCGAAACATGTCAGCTGCCTTTCACATCCACGGAGGAATGTTGGCGCGTCTTCACAATGTTGTCAGTCAGTGCGCCAGATAAGAGCGCTCAGTTCATAAATAAGATTGATGGCATCGCATACCACCAGTTCCTGCACTGTGTTTTCCCATACAAGCGGTCTGTCGAAAGCATCCGCACTATCACTGTTTATATCCTTTTTGTCCAAGTCCAGGCTTGCAGAGGTGATTAAAAAAAAAAAAATCCCCGTTCCATTGTGAAAACACACCGCAGCCTGATACATTCCAGTGCTGCTCAGTTAAAAGTATGATTAGTTCTACAGCTGTCACAGAAAAAGTACAGGTACTAAAAATACTTTGATGAGGGGTGACGGTTAATGGATAACTAAGCCCAACAAACACACTGAAGTTCATTCATTCAGATCATTGGTCTTCAGAGTCTTCAGGAAACACACCCCACTGTCACATGAAACAACATCTACAGTCTCAATAGATTTGTCAACATTATTTAAGGCTTTAGATGTCTTGACTTGAGTATTGGCTGATGTCAGGTACCCGTCTGAAAGTAGTGTGTGTTTAAATAAGTGAGAAATGATGGTGCACAATCACTTTGTTTCATTGTTGTTTGAACATATGCTTACTTTTCTGTGATATCCTTATGATTCTTTTTCTTCTATTATTCAGCATCAATGCTGCCAGGTTTCGTTGATGTGCACAATACTACTCCAGCCAAAGTTAAGATCTTCACTGCAGCAACTCTAAGAAAATGTAAGTACTTGCTTGCTTGATTTCCTCAATCCACAGTGGAGTCACAGCAGCCAAAACAGACCCCCTCAAGCTGTTTGGATTCTTTTGCAGAAGGCATGCGGAACAATGTTAGTTGTGAGAAACTTGAGGGACAGTGGGGGAAATAAGGATATTCATCTTTAAATAATGACAAGCCTGACTGGTTCTAGTGGTTGGTAACCCTTTACGGAGGATCAATAGGTTGTAATTAATCACTGTTGGCTCTGGTATGTATGTGACTTCCTGGTTTTCCTGGAGCCAGCCTCAAGCGGACACTCGCTGGATTTTGCACTTCCACACTTCATTTTTCAAGACCGGAGGTTGCCATCTTGGTCTGAAAAGACCCTGTCCACTGCCACTTCTGAGTGGGGAGCAAGTATATCCCCCCCCAGCCAATGACAGCGCACAGACCGGATACAATTTAGCGATTAGACATGATTCAAACGGATGATATGGCTTGGCTTTCACCTGCGGGACGTGGAGTTGACCTGCTTTCTGTTGGACAGCCATGTGCCAAACACAGGCGGTTAGCATGTGCTAGCATGCTAAACGATCTGCTTTTTCATTACAACCAATATTTATATTCTCAGGTAGCTTGCAGTGTAGGCACAAGCCGTAAATGTACACGCTAACCTTGCAGTGGGCGTGCGCTTCTGGTGGCTATGAGCCCAGCATGAGGGCCCCAATTGGAATAGATAGACGGATACTGTAGATACTTTATTGATCCTGAGGGAAATTCAAGTGTTTGCAGGCTGTGTTGTGTTATGTATACAAGCTGCAACGAACATTGCTACGTGCCATACTTTTAAACTATCAACAACAACGTGAGAAGTCTTGTCTTTCACAACCACTTTAAATATCTCACACAAATGTACACTGCAAGGTATATGGTGAAACCTGAGTTGACGCTGATGTCACTGTATCATTCATTGTTTCTGTCCTACTTTATTGTGAAGGTTCACTGTCAGTGCAGCTCAACAGCCCCAAACTGGTACAAGTGGATATCTGTGTGTATTTGTGTGTGTTGTGTGAGTGTGTGGGTTACCAGTGAGAAAAGAATCTATCCTGATACAGATCCAATAACACTCTCCATTCGCTCATCAGCATATCCAATGGCACAGCCCGGGAATAGTGTCCACTTCTGGGTGTGAGTTAAATTGGAAGCAATAAAAACACGTAGGAATGCAGCACACATTAGCAAAGGTGCACAGCGGCACAGAAGAATCTCAAACGGCATTAGTGGCTAATCTGGGAGAAACCTGTCTTTGTCACTTCTAGGGTTACACGTCCCTTTGAGAATGTGATCTATGTCAAGCACGCTCTCGATGGCAAGAGGAGAACAAGAGAGCAGGCCACCCGAGAAAGTTGAACCCGAAGGAATGCAGCTCTGGTATTCATTAATGAAGAGTGCTGCAACGAGAGCACAGGAATGGAGAGATAGGGTGACAATGTGAGAGAAGAGGTAGTGAAACAGGAGGGGGGGAAAGATTTCAGAATTAGAGGAATAATGTATTTAAGTTGATCTCTAATCAAATAGAAAACAGCCAGAGCCACTTAATGTACTGTATCTTAGAATATTTTATTGCTTTATGAAATGTTGCATGAATTCAAGATTCAACTGTAGAAACCTTCATATGGGTTGAAGTTCACAGAAATGTCTGTTTTTGAAGTCAACAAGTTGGTTGTGTACAGCTTGACATGACCGTGATTGTCGGTACATAACTTACAACAAACAAACATAAACTCTTTGGCATCCTGCTCAAAGCTCTTATATAACTACAATAACAATACAAACATCTGTATAAAATATATAATAATAATAATTAACCTGTTTTGTTAGTTCAAAGCTCACAGTAAACAACACGCTGTAGTTTCTTTTTTTAAACAGTTTTTTTTTCCCTCAGTGGTGACCAAACCAGCAGAATCAGCACATCAGGAAACACACTCACATACTGTATTCACACATGCAAACATACTCTGAGAAGTCATCAGATAAAAGCAACAGATGATGAAATCTACATCATGATGCAACACATCCCAAAATAGGAACAGCTGGCAACAAAAACAAAAAAACACATTTTTTTCCTTTATATATATTCTGCATCTCACTGTTGCCACACTTCTGAAGCGTCCGCAGAACCAGCTGCTCGAGCTAAAGACAGATGGACAGCAAGAGCGTTTAAATCAGCAGTGTTTCATGTGTCTTCTCAGTTTAGTTTATTGAAAAGAGGGCAGACTTCTTAAACACTTTGTGAACAGATCCATGTGAAGGGAAAGAAGTGACTAAGATAGACACCATAGATTATTTTTTGGAGAAGAGGGAATACAGGTCACATTGACAACCTTGAATTGAATCTTTTTCTAGAAGAGCTTGGACTTAACATTATATTTGGGGAATGTGGTCACCAGATAAGATAAATATGTAGCTTTAATTTACTGGATAGGGAAATTAGATACAGGGGATCAAAAGAGGAGGGGGAAGCAGCAATTATATATATATGTGTATATATATATAAGAATATTTATATAAATATTTTGGCATACACTCTCTGAGAATATGTTGCCCTATTACAATCCACAATACTGTCAGAGTACCTCAGAAGATTCATCTTTTCTCTCCTGGCTGCACAAACTGCCCGCAGCTGTCCAGTTCATTGAGAGTAAGAGTGAGTCGGAGCACAGCTCGCTCTCTCTTGAGTGTGAAAACAGTCCTTTTTTTTCGTGCATTGGCCTCTTTCCACAACATTCTTGCATCCAATATTTACTCCATTCTCTATTCAAAGACTTGCACTCTTCACAGATTCGCTTTATTTTGTGTGTCTCTTGTGTGAAAATCCACCTCTTGGTTCTTTTTAAATGAAGATCTCCACTGCCTCTGACTCCAGCTCATCCAGGCCTCTGAAGGGGTTTAATAACAACTTCTTAGGCGCTTCTGTGTCTGGGGAAAAAAAAGAGGACAGAAAATAAATAACTTTCTAAATGCTTTAAGGCAAAATGGTTTAGCTCAGCTAGCATGACCAAAGGTTAACAAAGAGTTTCTGCGGTCAAAAACAGTAAATCTGCTCAGTCAACAGATCTACATTATTATCCTAACCCTGCACATTCCTCCAGGCCCACATTATGAACCATGACCTGCACACATGCTATCTGATTGGCTGCGTTAGAGGCGGCATGGTTAATCAATGCGAACATCCATGAAGCCGAGGTCCAAAACTGCTTTCATGCAGACTGAAGATTGCACTTCCCTGCTCTGTGCCGCATGCGTGCAAATTGTTTATCATTAAAGTTTGATTTATCACTCACCACTGTTGAGCTTAGTGGTGCTGGCAGCCTCCCTGGCTTTGGTTCCCTCCACCTGCCGCTCTAACGTTCTAGGTTCAGACTGAGCAGAGAACTGACGGATTGGCAAAGTTTGATCATCTGAAAGACTCTTTCCTAAAAAAAACAACAAAAAAAACAATTGAGAAATAGTGTAAGTATATGTCAGTAGAGGGCAAAATTCACTCTAATTACAAAAATATTTGCATACTTTTTAGAATATCCCACTAGATCTAGAAAAAAGTCTATTAGACTAGACCACAAAATGTGATTTCTCTTCTGGGCATGTGAGTGAAGAGGTACACTCAGCTGCTAAACATTATTAACACCCAACTAAATTATTAAAGAAGGCATCATTAAGTTTCTCACCTCTGCTCTTAGCGCTACTTGATGTGATACTGATGGAGGGAGTGGAGGAGGCAGTTCGGAGAGGAGCCCCCGCCAGATTTAGGAGGTTTGTGCGATGACTCTGCTCGTCCTTCCTCCCTTGGTCCTGGTGCAGCCGCTGGTTGAGGATCTTGATCACGGCATCCTTTTCCAAGATCTGAGCGTAGAGTGCACGGATCCTTATCCGAAACAGAAACATAAAAAGCAGAAATGTTAATGAAAAATGTCATAAAAGTAAGCCGTTACAAATGGGAGTGCAATAACAAGTACACACCTGTTCTCCATCTCTTGATTTCTGTAGTCGGCGACCGGCAGCTCCTCGTTGAAGCTGTTGTTAGAGGAGTGGCAGGGCGAGTGGTTAATGATGGTGGTGTCTCTGCAAAAGCAAAAGACTTTACTTAACTCTAGTTCAAATTAACAAAAGAAAACATGTGCACATAGGATTGGCCAGCATATTTCAGGCAAAAGGAATCGTTACCTCTGAGCGGCAGCAGTAGCAGCCACCTCCATTGCAAACTGCCTCATGGTGCTCTCTTCTAAATACTTCTGCTCCCAGCGGACCATGTCAGCTTCCAGGGCCAGGATTCGCTCCTCCCGCTCACGCAGACGCTCTTGGAGGGAGCCCATTGTCACTCCTGGTGGTTGGGACTGCCTCTGAAGTGGAAGGAGAAAGGATTTATTGAAATATCACAGTACAGAAATGTGAAAAGTATTTTGTTTTCGCTTGTTTTTTTGGGGGAATTTACCTGCTGTGCTCTCAGACTCCTCAGCTCCTGCTCCAATCGCGTCCTTAGCTTCATCTCAAGGCTCTCCCTCTTCTCGCAGGTGGACTGCAGCTGGGCCAGCGCGCTCTGAAGCCGCTCCACTTTCTCCACATAGGCCCTCTTCCTCCTCAACTCCTCCTCGAGCTGGCGACCCCGTCCACGAGCCGCCTCCAGGGCCTCCTCAAGTCTTTTTGCCCTCGCACTCTGGTCATCTGCCATTGAGCGCAATCGCTGCACCTCCCGCTCGACCCGCTCCCTCTCAAAGTTCTGCTCCTCGTCTAAGTGGAGGAAAAAGGAAAAGATAGGCTGGGTTTATTACATGCTTGATGAGTTTTTTTTTTTGTTTTTTTTTTAAATCATTACAATTCTGCATAAGGGTCTTTGACTAAAAATAAAATACAAGAGATGTTCTACAAATTTCCCACTGTGGGTATAACCCCAGTAATAAGCACCAGATTTGCTACATGGTGGCCAGTGTTCTTCATTTAGCGAAGCACTTCTGGAATGCTGAGAGGAGGAAGGAGGAGGAGGAAGGGAGAGAAAGCCGCCCCTATCCCTTTGACCCACATAGCACCGAGAATTCCTCATCAAGGCCATACAAACAGCAGCACTCTGCTTGGGTCCAGTTCCTTAAACAGACAATATAAATCACACTAACAACAGGTGGGTGAGCCTCAGCCCCACCACTTGCACTGCCACTCTGTGATTTAGAGCCTCCTCGTTTCCTTTAGAGGGAATTGAATTCCCTATTATTAAGCCCTGTTGCCAAATTACCTTATGTTATGCAAGAGACATTCCAGCATGAAGGATGCCATAGCTACAAAAAACGTGGCCATGCTTATGTTCCAATCCAACCTAGTGTGCTGATCACAAATCCTCTCTTGATCAAAAAGCCTTATCCACTTCAGGAACCAATGTTGTACAACTCACTTGCAGAAGTCAAATTGGATCCTGCTTGGGATCATTTCAAACTCAAGTTGAAACCGTTTAAGGGGGTTCAGTCTTGTTTTCATGCTTTCTGTTCTATTCCATGATCTTTTGTATCATGTCTTTTCCTGTCAGTGTTACTGCTGAGTTTGTTTGTTTTGTTGGGCTGGTATTACAAATTAGCTTTAAATGCTTTTGTTACGTGCCTCTCTTTACAAGTCAAGCAAAAAAAAACAAACAATGAACGTACTTTGTTCAAGGAGCTTGGCCATGATGTGCTGGTTATGGTCAGCTACTTCTACTTCTTTTGCCACGTGCGTTCTGGCATTTTCCAAGTTTTCTGTGATGGGGAAAAAAAAAATCAAAAATGATGGCATTGCAAATTGTTTGAATTCTAGATTGCATGTCATGGAAGAATATTATTCAAATTGATTAAATATATGGCAGTAGTCAATACCTCTAAGGTCTCTGTTAAAATCTTGCAGCCTCCTGATCTCAGCCACCAGCCTCTTCCTTAGCGTCTGCTCCAGGTTTTCCCTCTTACTGCTGCCCTGCATCAGTGTCTCATAGGCCTCTGAAATACGCTGGATCTCCTGCTCCAACTGAAAAGAAAAAGGTGGAGGAAATGGGAGAGGATTGGAGAAGAAGAAGAAGAAGAAGAAGGGAAGAAAAGGGATATTTTTGGTTAACCTACTTTATAGGTTGGGATAGATTCATGTTGTTACAGTACACTATGTACGATAAACATATGGGTACATATGTGACTTTGTGTATTGAGTACACTCAGTGTGTATGTGGTATAAAAGGAATTTGCGCCCGCACCACTCCCTGTGAGAGACTGATTTATATCTACATTCCTGAGGGCTGATAGCTCTGGTTCCAGGTGTGTGAGCGCACAAGACTCGCATTTACACAACACACTGCAGCATATGCACACAAGGACACACACACACACACACACACACACACACACTGGTCTGGAGGGGCTGCCAACAGAGGGAAGGCATGCATGCCTGTGCCTGGAGTTGTGGAAACGGCAAAGAGAAACCCACCATTATAGCAGTCACACAGGCATGTTTACTCAGGGCTGCGGCCTGACGGAGAAAACTTTCCAACCCCGGCAATTATCATTCTTAAAGCCTTAGACAAGGGCCATGTGACATAACTCCAGCGGAGAGTGGGTGGATTTTTATAAAGATTGGATGAGGTGTCAAATGTCTGTGAAGCTGTTTCCACAATGCTGAACAAGAATATCTCTTATTCTAGGTTGGTTTGTTTGGCAAAAAGACAAACAAGTTAAGAAAAAAAATGCTGTTTGGTCTAAACAACAGTGGCCTTTTACTTTTTACACACCACCTGCTATAGACCTCCTCCCCCCTCCCTCATCAGCTGTGTGCGTGAGTCAACCCAATCGACTGTTGTCTGACAAGCCCTAGATTACGCTGAAAATCTATAGCCTCCGTGGAAGCTATGAACACAAACTCCATGGCCTCCACCAGGTCAGCTCCACAATGAAAGAAGTGTGTAAACACAGTAGCAGGCTGTGACCTCTGTGGTATGAAAGGTAGCAGCTGCTGATCTCATCTGTGCCGCTCAGATGAGGGAGTGTGCCCGGAGTTTGGACGAAGGAGAGACAACTGTCCACTGGGGTTGTGTTTCAGACAGGTGGCTGAGATGCTTTCCCTCTGAATTCACTTTTTAACGTTTTATGGAGCCGTCAGTAACTTTAGAGTTTAGCGGGTGCTGTGAAACATGTGTGAGAAATGTCAGCTCTATTTAAAAAAAGAAAATCAGAAATCTCATTCTCTTACCTTCTGAATACGTCCGGTTTTCTCCCTATGCAATTCCAGCTCATGCCTAAGCCTCTCATTCTCCATCAGCAGCAGCTCCACCTGGTTGGGCTCCTCCAGGCCAGCAGGGGGCAGGGTGGTGAATGTGCTGTAACAGGGGAGTTCAGCTGCCTGACCGGGCTGGACAAACCTGTGAAAGAAGTGAAAACTCTTTCAAATTTGTCCAAACTTGTGGCTCATTTATGTGTCTAGTGATTGTTCTGGAAAGTTAAAGGGTGTCAGATTTTATTTTTTATTTTTGAGCTAGGCATCGGGAATTTAAGGCTATTTTCTACCAGCAAGACGACAAGCCGACTCCAGTGGCTGAGAAGAAGGTAAAAGCCTATTTGAAGAACATACTATTGTAAAAGCATCTGAGGAAACACAAGCATGTGCTGCTATCCTGTTCCAGTATGCCAAGCATTACAACCAGCTACAGGGCTGGACTTGTTTGGCTCTAAGTATGTCAAGAAGAAAATCAGTACGGTGTGACTAACATCGATAACTATGTGTTTACGCATGTGAAACACAATGACAACGATGATTACACGGCTGGCTCTCGTACAATAACTACACCACAGACCGTGATGTAATGTTAAAGTACTTTTACACACAATGTTATCCTTCAGAGTGGTCTTTGTACCTGTGCTGTTGTGCTTGCATTGGCTCCTGGACCTGCTGATGGATAAATCCTTGGCCCTGGATGGGGGTCGAGTATTCTGGAGGTGGGCTGCGCTTGTCCAAACTAGGCCCTGATATCTGGAGGCCCTGTTGTGTGTAGTAAGGGAGCTCCGGGTAGCTGTGAGAGGTGCTTTTGAGGGCCTCTGCCTTAGCAGCTGCATCACTCCTCTCCAGAGAGATCTGCATGCGATGTTCACTGAGCGACCGCGCATGGCTGCACTTCAGCTCCATCAGATCTGCCTCTTCGTGGAAGATCCCCTCATGCAGGAGGGTCCCCTCATGGAGCTGCCTGATGGAGTCTGTGGTTCCCCAATGAGAAGCTAGATATTGAGAGTGTGCCTTGGCCTGCTCGTACGTTGGCAGCTCTTCCCCGTGCACCTGATAGAGCTGGTAGCCGCTTTCTGAGTGGTGGTAGTCACCCTGGTGCTCCTGGCCCTGAGGCTCCTGTCTCGCAGAGAGCTGAGGGAAAGGTGGCTCCTCTTGGGTGAGACTCTCCAAAGAAGATCTCGGGCTCCTGCCCATGTCACCTCCGCTGCTGGGTCCACTGTTGCTTCCACTGCCTCCACGCAGGGCCTGCTGCTGGATGGCAAGTAAGGTGCGGGTGTCTGTGGGGTTTCCGTAGCGGAGCTGCTCCTGGATGAGCCGATGCAGGACCGTTCCAGACGGCTCTTCAGTGGACGACATGCTGCTTTTTGTGTGTTTGTTTATTCTATAAAGATGAGTTGAATTCCTTCCTGGTCTCTAATACTTAAGACAATCGGCTGTGAATCTAGAACAGAGTGAAACAACAATCAGTGAACAGCACAAGACAGATGGTAAATTTAACATGTCATTGATAGTCACCTGTAGAAGAAAGGCTGTGTATTGCCAAGGCATGTAGGTACATTTGCAGCACAGACTTTAAAGGCGTGCTAACACACTGTCAATCATTTAACCTATGCAATCACGATGTATTTAAAGTTGGCCATAATATGGAAGTATTATAGCCTTGAGTTAACTTCACCAACAGCGACAACACAGAGATGTGGACACATTTTCCACAGCAGGCTGAAACAGCATGCGCCAAAAATTCCAATCTCACGGGGGAGCAAAAGCGCACAAAACCGAATTGTAAAATAACTGCATTTTTCTCTGAGAGCACAGTTTTGGGATTCTAATGCTCTAAATAACTTTTAAATCTCTATCCTGTATTATACACGTCAATATGAAGTTACTTTATCTGTGTTTGTATTCGTTCTTCTGTCGTGGAAAAGAGAGGAAAAAGTACGCTCTTCTTACCAGCTCACGCTCGCATCCTTTCCAAACGTTGTTTCTCGTCCTCGAAGTTAAAAAAATATATATATATCAAAGTAATTCCACAGTTTCCGTAAGTTTTTACGAGTCAATCGTGTCTCATCTTCCTCCCCCCGGACGGGCTGCTTCGCTCTCTTACTGTGAAATGATTGTGGAGAGAGCAGGCGGCGATAATAAGTAACCGAGGAGGGACTGAGGTCGGAATGCCAGGAATGTAAAACGCGAGGTCCCTCTGGGATCAAAAGCGTAAAACCACACGGGAGGGAGGGAGGGAGGAGAGAGGGGGGGGGGGGGCTGCATTGAGCTGTATCGTTACCAATGAGCAGTTCAGAAGCAGTATACACGAGCGAGGATTCTGCTTTGAATATATATGTTCATGTTTAAGGAAAGGGCAAGATATTAGTCCATTTCCTGACTTCACGTCTCCTTCCACAGCAGAGATTTCCAAAAGTTGCAGCATACGCAGTGGTTTGAAGCGCTACTCTTTGATGAACTCACTCAGTGTTGGAAGAAGCAGAGCTTCATGTTAACAGTTTCACAGGATAACACTTACAAATATACAAAGTAGCCTACAGTTGATTATTCAATATTAAACTTCAGCAAACGAGGAAGGTTCTAAAAACCTGTAGCCAAAAGTAAAAGTAGCTTACTCAGTATTCAAATGGTATCTTTCTAACTTCTAATGATTCATTAAATCTTATCAAATAAAATCATCTTGTGAAATAACTTTGTGCACAATTTTAATCTGAAAAGTAACTTTAATGATAAATATATTGGTTTGAGTAAACATTAGGCTACATTTAGTTAACCAATTTAAAATATGGGTAGTTTAAAGTAAAAAAGTCCCACAAATAAATTCTCAGCAAAAGGTACAATTACACATGTAAATCAGTAAAGAATAAGAAGTTGATAGAAGCAGGCCTATGTCGTTTGGTTCATTTAGTTGTGGTTTAGTCATATTTGCTGATTTAAAGTATTTAATTAATTTGATAGCAGTACCAATAAATATTGGTATTATATATTAAAATGGTGCAATCTCTGACCTTCTGCTACATATACAAAAAATGACTTAACTATTTTCTTTTTGTTTTTTTAGAACTTATTTTTTATTGCGTACACAGATAAAACATGCCACTTCAGGATAAGCTTTTCAGTTACACTTGTCCATTTTCTCATGGAATCTTACCAAATACATATCCATATCCATACATGTATACACACACCCATTCATACCTACATTTCACATCTTTTTTCAATCCTCTTTCCTTGATTGACTAACAACGTCTGCAAAAAATATTGGTAATTTGCTGTACACTAGGCAAGGGCATTTAAAGTCAAATGAATAAATAAATCAAACTGCATTTAAAATAAAAATATTAAGAGGTGACTAGAGCATTACCTGCATCACTGGGGCCCATTCTTCATCAAATCTGTTTGTTTTCAGCTGTAATCTGGCTGGTATTTTTTCCAAGATAAAAACGTTTTTTTTAAGTCTGTTTTTAAAGTATTTAACCCTGAGTTTGTAAAACAGCTTAAATAAAGTGAGACCAGGCAGCACCTTCTGTGTTTTAAATGAAGCCAATTGCAGAAGTGCAAAATACTGCAGTTCTTTGAGTCTCCACTTGAGGCTTGCTCCAAAAGCCAAGAAATCCCCATCACGTTCCTTGTTAAAGTGCCCTCTTTTTACATTAGAAATGAACATGCTTACAGACTGGTAACGTCACATTTTGTCGTGTAGCTCTTAAGGCTGTGCATGTCTTCAATGTTTTTGTGTGTGTGACGTGTGTGTGTACGTGTGTGTGTGCGTGCGTACTGTCTGTACGCACTGTCTGTCCCCTGGAAGCTGAGGTGTGTGTGCCCCATTACTACAAACACAGTGGCTCTTTGTACCCAACATAGCACTACACGGTGCAAAACTGAGCCTGCAGTATGCCACACATGGGCACTCACTCCTCCTGCTAATGTACAAGTTCAAATCTCAAACATGCAGTGGTCGTTCTCCTACTATGTACTACTAGAGAGCAGGTTACACACAGAAATAGGACATATGTGGATGAAATGACAGTCAGTTTGGCAGTTAACCCTCCTTTCGTCCACATATTAGGTCATTTCATTGGTCATACAGTGTCTGACCCACAACGCTGTATGACACTATTTTTGTTCACAATTGATATAAACATTCAGACTTCCATGAAAGCAGATATTTATGACAGGCTTTATTTCTGTCCCAGCCAAAAGACAAGACAGAGCTATTTATTACCTGTGTGGACCTAACTGCTTCTATAATGAGAACTTTAGACTCTGACTTTTACTGTGGGCCATTTAAATAGCAGAGATGTCAGTCATAACAAACTAATCATGTCTTTGGGCAGAGGAGGGTGACGCAGAAAGAAACAAAAATGGATCCTGCTTCTGCACATTTTCACTCCAAAAGGTCTAGTGCAGGGAAAATGCAAAATGCATCAGAACTAGTGGAGGCATCACAACACAGCAGGCCTCATTAATTGATTGTTGTCAGTATGCAGCCGCTGGCCTGCAGGCTGATTATCACAGTAGACCTAAATAAAAACTCTCAGCCCTGTGAGTTCTTATTGATTGTATGTGACCACAATCATCTCTCTGGCTCTTTTCCCTCTTCTAAATTAAACACACACACACACACACACATTCCCCTCATGTTTCAGATGCTGCGTATTCTTAAATGGGCTCTTGTAGAAAAACATGCAGACACGGTGTCTCCGTGGGCGGCACTCGCATAGAGGCGACTGGTCAGCAAAGTGGAACATGTTTGCATTTCCCCTTCAGATACTGTGAAGCAGCACAGTCTCCACCTTTTTAAAAGTCTGCCCATGTCATTTAACACCACCTCACGACTTCCTCTACTGTGTGTGTGTGTGTGTGTGTGTGTGTGTGTGTGTGTGTGTGTGTGTGTGTGTGTGTGTGTGTGTGTGTGTGTGTGTGTGTGTGTGTGTGTGTGTGTGTGTGTGTGTGTGTGTGTGTGCTGTTGGACAACGCCTCTAGCCATTTTGTTCTCCATTGTACCACACTTCCTGTGAACTTCCAAAGGAATGCAGGGCTGACCCTTTAAAAATGATGGACTCTTTTCAAAAAGTCATTACAGGAGATGTACATCTCTACAAGTGGTGTGCCACAAAAATACCTCAGTGACTGTCTGAAGAGCCCAGAGCAGACAAAACCTAAATGTCATGAGTTAGTCCTTTATTTGTTTTAAGAGAGGGAGGTGTTGAGGAATGTTTGAGGATACAAAATAAAACACAATTATGTTGTTGCTTTACGCAGTAGAAGCGAATTACTTTTGAGGTTTGGGCGGCAACATGAGCACAAATGAGGCAACATTGAGCAAAGTCAAACTACCAGTTACACATTTGGAAACAGTCTGGCTCTAAATTGACTCATTTTAGCCGTGTGTCAAAGTCAGTACAAAAGTTCTGTAGTCAGAGGGAGTGTTATAAACGGTGCCATGTAAGCTAATCTACTTTTAGTTCATTTAAAAATGGGCCTTAAGCCCCCTGGCTGGTATTTTGCACTGTACATTAGGGAGTGAGGATCATTATGGAATTGAGATTAGCCACAGAAGAAGTGCAGATTTTGCTATTAATACTACATGCATTTTGAGTGAACTATTCCTTATTCCTTAGCAGTGTTGGAGTAACACGATACAAATCAACGCTCTGATGTTCTCACAACGCAGAGTACATGTAATTATTGAAACATGCAAATATTTAAAAGCATTAGAAAACAACATCTATAGATGTATTCAGACCAACCTTACATTTTCAAATAACATTTTTTTGAGAATTATGCAGCCCATGAACATTTCTTTTTTTTTTTTAGCCAATGGTTAAAACTATTTTAGGGATAAAGTGTTTCCTCCATTGCTGTTTTCAAATAACTCTTTGCAATGACTTTTCCTCTGGAAAAGGGTTTCCCTTTAATCTCTACATGCCGCAAACGTTTGAGAGCAGAGTTTTTGAAACTGGAAGAACTGCAGAATAAATGAAAGGTTGAATGTGATCAATAAGATGCTATTGTTTGCAGTCTGACATGCTTTTTTTTGTATTTTTTTCATGAGGATCTGATATTTCAGGCTTTCAAAATGTGTGCTTTGGTTGAGTTTGTCCCAGATAACTGATAAAAACAACTGAGAACAAGCTTTTTACATGCAGGGCCAGAAGCCTCAAAGAAGGACAAAATTTCTTGTATATTTATATCCATCCACAAATGACTAAGAAATTAAAGTGCTTGAATTACATGACAACAGTTAACTTTATATCAAAAATGTTCAACATTAATATGAAATCTAGCCACAAAAGGAAGATTCTTAACTTGAACCAATAATTAATGATTTTTGAAATTCAGATCAAATCAAAGGTTGTTTGCTGCAGTTGAGGCCTGACCTGTACAGAGATTTTTGTGATTGTATACAATTACAGCAAGATGAGGATAATCTATCCTCCTGAATGTTGTTTCACTTGCCATAGTTTAGATAAGAAATTATACAAAGAGAGATTTGTGGTGCTTAACTTAAGACCAAACAACGTCTCTCTTTTTTATCACTCAGTTTCTTTTTGTTCCCATCTGTATGATAAAGTCTCAAAGTTACTTCCTGTTCTCAGAGCTAATCTGAGAATAAAACATCTGTATCTGACATGAGACAGAGTTTAAGGTACAGGATGTGTGTATCAGTGTTGGCTGGTGTGGGAAAGAAGGACACAGAATAGCAGACGAGGTCATCCGATACGACAGGATTGGTGAGGAATGTCACTGATTAGGCTGAAGGAGTGGGATGGACTCCTCTCCTTGTCTCTCACTTCCATGGACAGCTTCCTCGTTCACACAGCGAACAATAGACGAGGACGAGGTGCGCTGCATTCAGGTGGTATCCTGTTCTCAGGAAACCTCTGACGACAAGCTTCCCATGTATTCGAATTTCACAACAGCTTGGATTGTGATCTTTGGATGAAATGATGTTTAGTTAAGCAGGAATGAGGCCGTTAGATTCCTCTTGGACACCTGGAAATCTTAATAAACAGATACAATGAAATGGCTTGTGGTGTATTAAAGTGAAAAGTAAAGAAATTGCTGCTTGTCACAACAAGTCAAGCAGCGTTAAAGGGAATTTCCAGACATTCATAGCAAACAGACTTTTCAGACATGAGTCACTAGAG